GCCACAACGGTGAGAGGCCCGCGTACCGCAAAAAAAAAAAAAAAAAAAAAAAGTCAAGGTCTTCCCTGGTGGCGCAGTGGTTAAGAATCTGTCTGCCAATGTAGGGGATATGTGTTCGAGCCCTGGTCTGGGAAAATCCCACATGCCGCGGAGCAACTAGGCCCGTGAGCCACAACTACTGAGCCTGCGCGTTTGGAGCCTGTGCTCCGCAACAAGAGAGGCCACGATAATGAGAGGCCCGCGCACTACGATGAAGAGTGACCCCGCTTGCCACAACTGGAGAAAGCCCTTGCACAGAAACGAAGACCCAACATAGCCAAAAATAAATAATTAAATAAATAAATAATTTTTAAAAAAAGTCAACAGGGCTTCCCTGGTGGCGCAGGGGCTAAGAATCTGCCTGCCAATGCAGGAGACACAGGTTCGTGCCCTGGTCAGGGAAGATTCCACATGCCGTGGAGCAACAAAGCCCATGCGCCACAACTACTGAGCCTGTGCTCTATAGCCTGTGCTCCGCAACAAGAGAAGCCACTGCAATGAGAAGCCCGCGCGCTGCAATGAAGAGTAGCCCCCCGCTCACCACAACCAGAGAAAGCCCGCACGCAGCAACGAAGACCCAACGCAACCAAAAGTAAATAAACAAATAAATAAATGTTTTTTAAAAAGTCAATACCTAATGTTAGTGAGGATGTGGAGAGAAGGGAACACTTGTATGCTGTTGATCGGAATGTAACTTGGTACAGCCACTGTGGAAAAGAGTATGGAGTTTCCTGAAAAAGCTAAAAATAGAACTACCATGTGGGGACTTTCCTGGTGGCACAGTGGATAAGACTCCGAGCTCCCAATGCAGGGGGTCCGGGTTTGATCCCTGGTCAGGGAACTAGATCCCACATGCATGCCACAACTAAGAGTTTGCATGCCACAACTGGGGAGCCCGTGTGCCACAACTAAGGAGCCCGTGAGCCAAAACTAAGGAGCCTGCCTGCCGCAACTAAGACCCAGCGCAACCAAATTAATTATGTTTTTTAAAAAAGAAGATGAAAACACTCAATGCCCTGTGGTGACCTAAATGGGAAGGAAATCCAAGGAATAGGGGATATATATATACATGTGGCTGATTCACTTTGCTGTACAGCAGAAACTAACACAACATTGTAAAGCAACTATACTCCAATTTAAAAAAAAAAGAAAATGAAAACACTAATTCAAAAGGATACATGCACCCCAATGTTCATAGCATCACTATTTACAATTGCCAAGATATGGAAGCAAGCTAAGTGTTCATCAACAGATTAATGGAATACTATTCAGCCATTAAAAAGAATGAAAATTCGCCATTTACAACAATATGGATGACCCTGGAGGGTATTATGTTTAGTGAAATAAGTTAGAGAAAGACAAATACTGTATGTTATCACTTATATGTAGAATTAAAAAAATTAAACGAATGAATATAGCAAAACAGAAACAGCAGGTATAGAAACAAACTAGTGGGTACCAATGCAGAGAGGGAAACGGGGAGGGGCAAGATAGGGGTAAGGGAATAAGAGGTACAAACTACTATATATAAAATAAATAAGCTACGAGGATGTATTATACAGCAAAGGAAAAATAGCCGCTACTTTGTAAAAACTTTAAATTGAGTATAATCTATAAAAATTATGGATCACTATGTTGTACACCTGAAACTAACATAATATTGTAAATCAACTATACCTCAATAAAATTTTTTTTATTTAAAATAAATGCAGGGCTTCCCTGGTGGTGCAGATGTTAAGAATCCTCCTGCCAATGCAGGCGACACAGTTTCAAGCCCTGGTCCGGGAAGATCCCATATGCCACAGAGCAACTAAGCCCATGCACTGCAACTACTGAGCCTGCGCTCTAGAGCCCAAGAGCCACAACTACTGAGCCCACGTGCCGCAACTACTGAAGCCCACGCGCCTAGAGCCCATGCTCCGCAAAAGAGAAACCATTGCAATGAGAAGCCCACACACAGCAACAAAGAGTAGCCCCTGCTCGCTGCAACTAGAAAAAAGCCCACGCACAGCAACGAAGACTCAATGCAGCCAAAAATAAATAAATAAAAATAATTTTAAAAGTACTACTAGACATAAATCTTATTATATAAAGAAAGACTATTAGATACAGGAATAACAAAAATAAATACACACAGTAACAATCCAGGTTTACATTTATCTATCTTCATCCCTTCATTTCCATGACTATGAGATCCACAGCTCATCCAATAGATTTGAACTGATCCAAATACCAGCTTTTTCTTTAGTTCTCACAGACGAACAAAGCCAAATCCACACTCTATTATAATTCACGACTTAGGACTGCACACTGCAAGTTATTGGATGTTAGTCCATTTTGGAGTTCATAACCTGAAACAGAAACTCAGATGGTTGGGACCTCCCTGGTGGTCCAGTGGTTAAGACTCCATGCTCCCAATGCAAGGGGCCCAGGTTCAATCCCTGGTTGGGGAACTAGATCCTGCATGCCGCAACTAAGATCCCACATGCCTCAAGTAAGACCCAGCACAGCCAAATGAATAAATTAAAAAATAAATAAAAAATTAAAAAAACACCTCAGATGGTTGAAATGTCTAATTTTCAGGAAGGATACTTCATTATTTTTGCATCATTTAGATTGTCTTACACAAGTTTTCTTAACAGCTGCTAATCTTGCTTTTAATTTATAAATGTGGTTAGTTTCACTTCAATGTTGAATGTTGTGGGCTGTTTAATCGTATACTAGTTTCCCTTAACTGTAACAACAGTAGTTTGGGCCTCTTATATCCCAATAAGTAGGACTTTAGCCTGTGCATACATTGCAGTTCAAAAATGAACCATGTATAACCCTATCACCAAGAGACAAGAAGGAAAGCTGCTCTCCTCCAAAATTTTAGAGGGATTCTCTTTTTCTACTGAAAAATGGGAACCTGCCAGCTAATGGGGAACGTGAGGTCTCTGACCTCATCTAAAGGTGCTTCAGCCCTTCAAGTTCAAAAACGATTGACCTGCAGGAAGGTCTTCCTCTCTGGTTCCTGGACCCCCACACCATGGAAGAGGCCATCTTCCCTCCGAATTCAGTGTGATGTCCTCCATGGTTTGATGGGAGGGCTCACCAGTTCAACAAAGCTTGAAACCGGTACCAGTGTATAGCGCCCAGACTTACCAGAGAAGGCAAACACTGAAGATGTGCAATGTACAGCAGGGACAAGGAAAAAGGTCCCTCTGGGCCAGCAAGAAGAGGAAAGAGAAACAGAGGGAGAAGCAATACTTGAGCAATACTTGAGGTCAATGGGTATGAGCTTTCAAGTCAGGTAGACCTGGGGGTGAATCTTCCTGGCTTTTCCACCAACCAGCTGTGGAGCCTTGAGCACATCCGGCCCAGAGCAGGCCCCAGCCCATACTTACTGAATTGAGTGCTGAACGAAATTCTCTGACCATTTCCTCATCTGCCAACCAGTAATGCAATTCCTACCTTGCAGATTTGAGAGGAGTGAGAAAACACACAGTGCTAAGAAAAACAGACACAAGACATGCAGTAGGCTGGGGACCAGGGTTCTAAAGCAAGTTCTGCCTAACCCGGCAGGAGCATTCTCACACCAGGGAACATGAGTTCCTGGGCTCTGTCTGGGGCCAGGTTAGGAGGCGGGCAGGTGCAGCAGAGCAGGGCAGGGGCAGGGCCAGGCAATGAAGCGAGGCCACAGCGCGGAGGGAGCCAGTTCCTGGTGGCTGTTGGGTGGCTCAGACAGCTCCTTGCCTCCCCAGCCATGGTTCTCCCTTTGCCCTGGCTCTCCCGAAGTTGCTGCCGTCGCCTCCTCCTGCCACCCTGGCCCCCAGCACTCCAGGGCTCCTGGAGGTGCTGCTCCCAGGGTCCCAAGGCAAGCACAGAAAAGACTAGCTCCACAGGCGCTGGGCAGATGTCACCTTCCAGGGTAAGTGGCACCAAGAGTGAGGGTGGAGGGCAAATGTGTACTGGGGGCAGGGAATCCCCTCCCACCTCACCCTGTACCACAGGCCAGCTGAGTGCAGACACTACCCCCACCCCTAGAGCATGCTGCCTAGTTCCTCAATTCCCCGGCACCCTCCCTGCCCCCACCCCCTCCAGACCTCAGGGCACCCTCTACCTACACCCCTCCCTCCCTGCACAGTCCACGAAGTCCTTGAACAGGAATTTCCCCTCATCCAACAGTTAATTATTTCTCAGGGCGGGTTGGGACAGCCAGTTCTCCCCTTCCCATACGTCACACAGAAGTCCAGTTATAGCCCCTGGGCTGTGATCTCTAACTTTCCCCCTCCCCCCAGGCCTATGCCTAAGACAGGAAGCAATACAGATGTACTGCTGTTAAGATCACGTGTACTGCAGGCATCGCAATACACATGACCTTAAACTAATGGTGCTGAAAAACAGGAAGGAGGCAGTGAACCTCAGCCCCCTGCCCTGGCTGATGCTCTTTCCTAACACCCCCCTCTCCCAGGACCCCTGGCCCCGCCCCACAGCTGAGCTGGCCCAAGCTGAGGAGCTGCTGGAGCAGCAGTTGGAGCTGTACCAGGCCCTGCTCGAAGGGCAAGAGGGGGCCTGGGAAGCCCAGGCCCTGGTGCTCAAGATCCAGAAGCTGAAGGAACAGATGAGGAGACACAGAGAGAGCCTGGGAGAAGACACCTAAGCTTCCCACCAGTTGCCACTTCACCCTCCTACACTGGAAATACTGCACACTACCCTCCCTCCCCAGCCCTTTGATCAGAAACATCTCAGCCTCTCCCAGGCCAGTAAGGAAACGGAAGAAACCACCACAAAGGGCCAGAAATTGCAAAGTAGTGAGAAGCCACTACCTCTGCAGTCTTTTCAGTAACATCCCCCAGTCTGACACCTCCTACTGACCTCCGCCCCACAGCAGTGTACACAGTCCCCACGGGAATTTACTCCGGATTATGCCCTAAAATAGCCTCACCCCAAAACCAATAAAGGGACGGAGCGCTTACAGACACCACAGACTCATGTGTTTTTTAGTTTTGTTAAAAAAAAATTCTGACAAATCAGGGAAATGGGGGTTTAGGAGTGGTGGCGATGCAAAAGAAGGAAGCCATGGGGTGGGGTACGGGGTCGTCAAGGGTAGGCGGCAGCAGTGTCTCCTTCACCCCCACGCCTGGCATCATCTCCTGAAGAGGAGCAGACTGTCACACTCCAGAATGGGTGGGGAGTTCTCTACCGCGTCTGTTCAACTGAAGAAAAACATGGCAGTTAGAATAAGGTATGGAAAAGAAAAAGCTAGGTTGGTAGAAAAGGCCCCCCACCCCCGAAACACATGCAGATGTTTGTGCAGTGTGTAGGTCAGAGGATACATTTGGGGGTAAAGAAAGAAATACTTCGATGAGAAGAGACCCCATAAAGAGGTCAACTAAACATCCCAACAGGGCATCAAGACGGGGGTGCAGGGGAAAAAACAGATGACAAATTTGTCAAGTGCCCACTATGCACCAGGGGCTTTAAGAAAAAACCCTCTAAGGAACAAGGAGAACCTAAAGGACTGGAGAAGCCAGTTTCATGAGATCATTACTCACTGTAGGAGGAGATGTCTATCTCATCAGGCAGCTCACTAATATTGACTTCAAAGCGATCCTGCACATCATTGAGAATCTTGGCATCATTCTCATCTGACACAAACGTGATGGCCAAGCCCTTGGTGCCAAACCGGCCTGCTCTGGCCACCTGGAAGGAGACAGATGATAGAATTGGTAGACCCCAAAGAAGGAAGACACCCAAGAGGAGGGGTGAAGATGTATGGTATGAAAAGATAAAGAAACTAAGGGGGTGGGAGAGGACACTAGGATACCTTCCGGGTGTGGGGCTTACCCGATGCAGGTATGTGTCAGAATCCTCAGGCATGTCGTAGTTAAAGGCGATGTTCACCCGCTCGATGTCCATGCCTCGGCCAAACAGGTTGGTAGCCACAAGAATTCGTCGTTGAAAATCTTTAAACTGCTGATACCGAGAAAGCCTTTGTGAGAAAGGAAAGCAGAAAAATGTTGAGATTCCTTGCTCTCAAGGGTCTCTTCCTCGCAAGGACACAAAGCACCTTCCCCATCTCTGACTCACCTCTCCTCCTGAGGCATCCCACGGTGGATGGCAATAGCTGGGAAGTTCTGCTCCACCAGGAGCTGGGCCAGGGCAATGCAACGCTGCACAGACTTCACAAATATCACCACCTGTGTGTGTGTGTGTGTACATATAAGATTGGAGGGGATGTGCGTCCATGTGGGTGTGTGTGAGAGAGATTACGTGCAAGAGTTTTCAGTAATTACACTCTTCTAAAAGAACTCCTCTTAGTCCCCATCACGTATTTCCTCTTCTGCTCTAAATATTACTTAGCCTTTCCCTCTTGGCTCTGATTTTTCCTGAGCAGACAGACATGCTGCAGAGAAGGTATGGAAAACAGTAACTAAAATTACCAGACATATTAGGAGACAAGGATGAAGCCACCTCACGAGTGGTAAAAATCTGAACTAAAGTCTGGAAAGACCACGACCGATATTCCGACTCACCAAAACGTCAAATCTAAGAACTTACCCTAATTCTAGAAAGTAGTTTTTAGTGCAAGCAAATCACACCACAGGTAAAGTGATGGAACACTTCTCCCTCAGTTAAGTAGTACAAGAAACAAAACTTAAGAATCGAACAGGCCTAATGTATTTCTGGACTTTCACCACCTTATTAAAACTCTTCAAGGATTTTATAATTTGAGCTTTATTTTGTTGAATATCTATGCCAGCCATGGAACAGAAAACCAGTTCCCACCTTGCTCACGCTCAGTGCCACCAAAAGACATTTTTCTCTCATTTAATAGAATTTTCATTTAAGAGAATTTCTCCACCATTCTCTTTCACATGACACACATGGTTTCCTCAATAAAAGGATATATTATAGAGGTTCCTGCAACAGTTGGAGACGTGCTCATTCTCTCTACTGGACCTTGAACAACTGACCTGGTTGAATTCAAGGACATCCAGAAGGTCAAAGAGCTTCCGGTTCTTCTCGTTGTCCTTCAGTTTCACGTAGTACTGCTGCAACCCATGCAGCGTCAGCTTCGTCTCATCATCCACGAAGATCTCCATTGGCTGGGGGGGAGGGGGGAGGGAAGGGGTGGGGAACGGGAGGAGGGCAGAGTGGGGGGGTTAAACCTGGGGGGGTGGAGGAAGTTGATCTCCAATACACCCCATGGCGGGATGGGGAGAAGAGAGGAGATTGGAAACCCAACCCCACCCCCAAAAATACCCACATATTAATGTGGTCTTTTCCACAGTTGATCTAATGTCCTTCCTATCAGTTGAGTTTTAAGATTTTCCAACTGAAAATTTTCACGGGAAAGAAACTTTGCAGGGAGGAAAAGACACAGTACAACCACCCAATGGCAAGATGCCATTACCTCAAATGGAGGTGGTGGAGGAAAGAAAACAATGGGAGGTGATTCTCCAAGAGAGAACATGATCCAAACACCTGGGAAATGATGGGAAACAGTGACTCGAGGTCAGAATAACTCCATCAGAGCTGGTTTAATATCGGGGAGAGGAGAAGGACTACTCCATTTTATGCTCTCAACTACGAGAATCATATCCCCATTATGAAGGTGGATGTCTTCCATATCCCCATTAGGACGGTGGAAGATCAGAATGCTTCAGTGGACATAAGTCAAAATGCCATGAAAAGGGAAGCAAAAATTACTCAAAATGAGCAACAACTTGCCCTCGGACCACAAGGAAACAGTTTTAAATAAGTCTGGTCTCAACTAAAAATCAAACCACCTAAACTGTTACGTGGAAAGTATCAATAAGTAGTGCTAAGAAGCAGATTCAGAGCAGCAGTTATTCACTCATCTTTAAAAACAAAACAAATCATATACACACACAACCCTTGAAGGGAAGGAAGGCAGCATTAAAAAAAAAAAAAGGCAGAAATTGACACAAGACTCAACTCCAAAGCCCAACTTTCCTAGCACTCTTCACTAACTTGAAGACATAGTTAACATAAAACCCCAGGGTCCAAGATTTCGGGAAAGGATGTGTGTGTCATGGGAGAAAACCAGAAGCCCAATCTCAGAAGTCAGACTAGCAAAGGTAGGCTTTCCAAAGAGAAGTTCCATGGCTTCTTTCAGATCTAATCTGAGCCCCAAGTACAGCTGAAGAGTTTTGGTCCCATGGGAAGGAGCAGAGCAGGGAGGGGAAGAACACACTCCACTGCTTATACAATAGCCCCGCCTAGCCCCAGACCCTAGCACCCACCTGGTTACATCCAAGTGGAGCTCCTCACTTTACCTTTCCCATATCCCTCTAAGTATTAAAAAAAAAAAAGTGTTTAAAAAATGAAAAAAAATCTACCACCCCATTCAGAACACCCCTCCCCACCAACACAAATGGAGGGAAACAGGGAACACGGCACGCCTTGGGTTCAGGAAAAAAACCGGGAACGGAAAAAGAGGCTGGTTTGGTCCTCGGCTTCCTGGTCAGGTTCCCCGCGGCCTCCGCTGCCGCCATCCACCGCCGGGTGCCGTCCGCATTCCCCCGCCGCGCCACGGTGCTTCTCTGCTGCCGGCTCACATCAACCGAGGTTCCGGATGGGTGCGAGGAGGTACGGGTGGGAAGGAGTATGGACTCGGGGATTGAGGTGCCAAAGGCCCCCACCCCTGGAGGTGGGGAGGAAGCGGATTCATCTGTGCTGTTTGCTCTTCTTTTGGACATGCCCTGCCATCTGTCTGTCCCTCTCTTGCTCTCCTGCCACCGGGACATTATGAGTTTGGGGAGCAGAAGGCTCCGGTTGTATGCTCGATGCCACCTTGAGGGTGCGTGGCTGTAGGGAGTATGTAGGAGACGATGGGTGGGTGGTAGGGCAGAAAATCCTGCCCTCCCCCAAAAGGGAGAAGAGGTTCAAAAATGCTGTGATTAAAAAAAAAAAGTCGAACACTTCCCGCTCTCACGTTAACCCGACCAAGTCTTCCGGAGTTTCCCTGGCGCCCGCGCAGACCCTAACACTAACTGTCTCTGCCTCTGTGTGTCTCTTCAAGGAGTCATCACTCCCAAATGGGCATGTGCCCCCTTCTTGGCGCTTGAAGGACAAGGGAGTCTGGAGGAAGAGGGCGCGGAGGGGGAGGAGGCAGCGGGCGGGGAGTGGAGGGAGAGAAGGTAGAAGGGTATTTACGTCTTGCATGAACTTGCGGCAGACTGGGCGAATCTCTTTGCTCAAGGTAGCACTGAACATCATGACCTGCTTCTCATGGGGGGTCATGCGAAAAATTTCCTGGACATCCCGACGCATGTCTACAAGAAAAAGGAACTGTAGTAGAAGAGAAGCATATATCGTAAACAAAGGCCAGAAACAGGCGTACCAATGAGGTAAAGACTGTTGGTAAGCGAGAGTCTCGGTTCAGGGGAAGATTTGCCTCAGGCCTCTCTCTACTCTATTTTCTCCAACCACCACATAATCATATCCATAGTAATGACACAGTGGAAAGAACAATGGATTTGGGACCAGGTTCCAGCTGTGTATTTTAACCACACAAGAAATTAGATGAAACCCCAAAGCCCACAACTAAAACATGGGGATAAAGCCCACTGCAGAGGCTCACAAAGATTAAGTCCTCTGAAAAATGCTTTACAAGGAAGGCCCTTCTCCCTAATCCTCTCTCCCCAAGCTCCAACTGTCTACAAATATCGCGCACCTATTACATTCCAGCTGTCAGAGTCCATTCCATGCTTCCTCTGGATCACACTGTCCTATCCAGTCAGGCAAATATGACATCTCTACTTGGAGCCCACCTTATAGCTCGCCATCTAGAATAGCCAAAGATCATTTGGAATGACTTATCCCTGGGGCTATGTCGATCCCTACTCTCTCATTCACCAAATTTGAGTTCTTACAAAACATTTTCCTTACTTAACCCCACTTAGCACACCAGAATACCACACCACACAAACTCCCACAAACACCCTCCACATTAATTCCAGAACTTAAGTCTAGAGATCTATTCAGCTATAAATTCTGACAATATATGCTGAGCTGAGGATGCCAAAAGAGTAGACTGTCTCCTCGTCCAGCTCAAGTTTCTCCCCTATGACACCCACTATAGGGTTTTACAAAGGAGAATGGTGGTGTGACTAATATCCAACATCAGCAAAGTCCCTTCTCTCAAAGATAAACATCACCAAAAGAAAGAACGTAACACCCTCCTCCTTGATCACTAAGGATGCTTAAAAAGCCTAACGAAGACTGACCAGGGAAGCCAGAGCCATCAGTCATGGGTGATAGATTAAGAGTCGTCCTGGCACTAAAGTGCTCCAGTATCAAATAAACATCATTTGGCTCCAAAAGGCAACTCCCAGATCACTAGCCCAGTCCCAGCACTGCTACTCACCGAGCTGTTCAAGCATCTTATCGCATTCATCCAAGATAAAGTGTTTAATGTGTTTGAGATTGAGGCTCTTATTTCGAGCCAGGGCTAGGATGCGGCCAGGGGTCCCCACGACGATATGCGGGCAGTTCTTCTTCAGCACCTCTTCATCTTTCTTGATAGACAGACCACCAAAAAACACTGCGACCTGCCAATCCAGGAGAAAAGAGTATCTCACGAGGAAGGAAAGAATTCAACCTCCCCAAGGTTCCCATCCTTTCAGTTTACTCTAAACCAAGTCTTAAAACACTTCAGAGCTAAAAGGAACATAGGAGATCACCTAATCTAAAATTATTATATACCCCAAACATTAAAGCTAAGAAACAAAAGTGACCTGCCCTAAATTACATGGCTGATCGAGGCACTGAGGACCAGCATTTAGTTCTTCTGACTTAATCTAACCATCTTCCTTCCCCAAGGCCAGGCTTCACTGTAAAAATGAGGACAGCAAGAAATCACCAGTGTCAAGTACCAAAAAAAGCTCATGGACATCAAGTTTTCCTAAATGACCCCAGATTTTTAAACTCCTTTGCATAAACCCTATGAAATTACTGACTCAGGCTAAATATACTACTCCATGTTAAAACCATTAGGGGAATGGTTGTTGAGGATCTGGGCCTTAATACCCTCTCAAATAGCACCAAAACTGCTTTTTAGTTTCAGGGGGGAAAGATCAGACTGACAGGACCCTAATTCTAGGGTAAATCTAAAACCATTAACTGTGGGACAGGCAGGTTTGCAACAAAACAGGAGATACATAGCATCATCTATGAAGAATTCTTGCCAAAAATGTTCAACTTGAACCAGTTAAGCTTTCAAATATAAATTTCAGTTTAGGGACTTCCCTGGCAGTCCAGTGGTCAAGAAGCCACGCTTCCTATGCAGGGGGCGCAGGTTCGATCCCTATCAGGGAACTCAGCTCCCACATGCCGGAGTGGCACGGCAAAGGGAGGAAGGAAGGGGGAGAGGGAGAGAGAGAAAGAGAGAAAGCAAGCAAGAAAGCTCAGTTTATAGGAAACACTGGGAGGGAAAAACAAGTTAAAACAACACAAGGGAGTAACCAGACAAACTGAGAGATAAAACATTCTGTAGAACTAGCCCAACGTCTTGAACAAATCACTGAAGCATAATTTTGAGCAAAAGAAAGAAAAGTAAGACTATATCAGGACAATTTATATTTGATCTTGACACCAAGACCATCCTCTTTTGAGTCCACAAGGTGATGAGTCAGACCTATAGAGGAAGAAGTGCAATCCTAGCTCTCTACTGAGCTCAATGACAAATGTTTCTACAGTCATTAACAATGGAAACGGTTTCCTGGTTTTCAACTTATAGAATCAACCTACCAACAAGACTGCTTGCTAAAAGGACAGAAAGTACACCGCAATGAAACTGACAATATAAGAATACAAACATACATAACACACACACCAGCTTTCAGACTATGTTTAGATAATTTAAATTAATACAGTTTTCAAATTCTAGGAGAAAAAGTGTAAACAAGCTAAATAATCTTTCACGAAAAAGTCAAAAAGGCCTTTAAGTTGACAAACTGAGAAAATAGCACCGAATACTTGGTTTCACAGAACATCAGAACTTAAAAAAAAAGTTAACTAGTGGTATTCTGTGAAGTACGATTAGCAGGCTCCCAAATGACACTGAAACCACAGGTCTGGGAACCACACCCTGAATATCAATGCACAAGCATATTTATAAAACATGTTAAAAACCAAGGCAAACTATAAAGCTTCTCCAAAATCAAAATACAGCAGACATCTCTGAAAGTATAATGCATACCAAAATGAGCCCTAGAATATAAACCTCTTATACACCTAAGTTGCAGAAACTTACTACGTACTACATGCAACTGAGATTTGTGTATAGGTATTTAACACCTGTGGGATGTGAAGACTGCTGATCTAACAAGTCTCCAATGCCTCCAACTCCCCACACCCTCACTCCCCCAGATCTCCTTACCCTAGCTTACCTTGACGTTGGGCATGTATTTAGAGAAGCGTTCATATTCCTTGCTGATCTGAAAAGCCAACTCCCGAGTGTGACACATCACCAGTACAGACACCTGGGGGGAAGTAGACGGAGACACACATACAGTATATCCCTTCACCAGGCATGTCACAAAAGCACACCCAGCAGATCACAGGTGACTACAATTCTGGATCTAAATCATTAACCCCGTGATTACTACAGAATATTCTCATGCCTATCTGTCAAGGATGATAAAGGTCATCTTAACAACAAGCACTCCTGGCTCTGAATGCATCATGTAGCAGAGACGAAAATACCCTTCCTGAACATTACCAGCCAAAATGCCTTCCCCAGCACGCTCCCCAAGTGTACCTGCCCAGTAACTGGCTCCAGCTGTTGCAGTGTAGCCAGCACAAACACCGCCGTCTTTCCCATGCCTGACTTGGCCTGGCATAGGACATCCATTCCCAGGATGGCCTGAGGGATGCATTCATGCTGGACTAGAAGTAGGGAAAAAAAAAGATAAATTAGTTTCCAAAGAACTCCACCACCTTTTTCACCAGGCCAAACCCATTTCTCACCACTCAATTCTTAAGTTGTTCTTGTCAATTTCCAGACCCTTTCTACCTCTCTGCCCCCTCAATCAAAGTGATTCCCAAATCAGACCTTCCCAGTTCCTTCTAACATAGCCTTCCAGCTATGGGCCCAAAGTCCTGCTAACAACCCTCTTGCATCTACCAATTGGACGCCTTAGGTGCTTCTGATTCTGTCTGAATGTTCCTTCATCTGTAGCAATCCATGAATTTTGAGTGCCTGCCACAAGCCATTTCTCATACTTAGATTATCATGCTTTGGGGCACTTAACCCTGCAACAACCTTGAACAAAATGAAGAACTTGGTACATGACCCAAAAGCCAGCCATAAAGGTTTCCAGAGACCAGAGTTGGCCTGGCCCAAGGGTCCAACCAGCTCCTCTCTGGAAATTTTAAACTAAAAGTCAGAGAGACAAAATTTAAAACAGGCAAGAAAAAAAGCCCCTCTAAGTTGCTTTTAGATCACTAGCACTTACATGCTATCATGCATGAAAAACCCACTTATGTAAACCTCTTCTATTGCTAAAATGGTTTTTAGTACTTATTTCCTGGTCTATCCTGAATATAAATCTGTATCACCTGAGGGACCATGACCATACTGTTTCCTGTATCCTTAAAGAGCCTAATGAATACTCCATGCCCAACAGAAAATTTACCTTCTGATGGATGCTCAAAGCCACAGTCAACAATGGCCCGGAGCAACTCTGGCTTGAGCAGGAAGTCACGAAAGCCAGAGCTGTGAATGGAGACGTAGGAGCCCTTGACATCCTTCTTGGCAGGGGCCTCAGCCCCATCTCCCCCAGCTGCTGTCTCCACCTCATCATCTTCATAATCCAAGAGCTCATTGTCCACATCGTTCTCTGCCATAACTGGGCCGGCAGGGGGAGAAGGGGAGGGGTCTCTGGATGAGTTCACGCAGAATAAGGGAAGACAGAGGAGGAAAGTGGGGGCTTGAGGAACAGTAGAGGAAAAGAAACACAATAGTTTCTGACAGAAGAGCTGGGGGAAAAAAGAGAAAACTCATCAGTCATGAGCAGAGCCTTCACCATCTTTTCCATCCCCACACTCTTTCCACTTTCCCTAAGCTAGGAAACATTTACCTGGAAAAAAAATAATAATAAAGAAGCACAAGACATAAAAGCGAAAGGCAAACATAATACTGGGAATGGGAAAAGTGGGCCCAGGGGAAGTGGTTAGGACGTTAAGTCCCCAAAAAGATAGGATCGGAGAAGGAGAAACCGGAAAGTTGGAAGGGCAAAACCGACTTATAAACTCCTGGTCTGTGACAATAACAAGGAAAAAAAAATACACGTCTGAAAAACAGAATACTATTAATAACTTAAAATGGAAAATGAAGATGGAAGTGACAAAACGAAAAGTCCTCAACGGAAGACCTTGTGCTTTCCCTATAATCTCAAGGTGTCGACAGCAGCCATCAGTCAAGGGTGATAGATTACGGTCGTCATTACGCAAAGCGCTCACTTTTCAAAATGAAAACATCATGTGGCTGCCAACCACCTCTCGCAGCATTCCAGCCTCCCACTCCTCAATAACCTTCTGGAGCTTAAGAAATCCTTGTGTAATTAATGACGGAGAAAGAGGCCTAGAGAAATGGCTCGGCCGGGAAAAAACACACTCCTCCATCATACGATGAATAAAATAGAACACAATAATTAAGAAAGATGTATCCTCGTTCCGGCTAACAGAAGCTTTACCAAGTGACCTTCCATCACCATTATGTTACTCCTAGATGTAGCTCATTTCCGAAAACACACAACGACACCACTGGTAAACATTTGGAAAACACTCCAGATAATAATGGGCAGTCCGTGGTGAGAAAAGTCCAACTAGGCCCACAAGTCGGGACTCCTTCCATTCCCACCGCGGACCGAGATAAGCGGGAAAGTGAGAAGAGCCCCGCCCTCTGCAAATGCCCAGGACCAGAAGACGCCTAGCGCCGCCTCTCACTGTCGCTGGGTTCTGAGGTAACTGAGGGTCCCACCGAAAGAGCGAGGAGCAAAGGAAGCACAATGGCGCCGGGGCCACCATCTTGGATTGGGCCCCTCTGGCTTCCCTACCTTCCCCCGAAGTTTCTTGATCTCGAGGGATGCAAGTGATGGAAGTAACAACCCAATCAGACGCCAGCGACCAGACCATAGCCTGTACAAGGGTTATCAGGAGGCTGTGCGACACGATGGCCACAGAGAAACGCAGATGGAGGCGGATGGTGCCGAAGGCCAAAGCTTACCTGAGCAAGGCGAAGGCGTATGGCGGCGGTAACAGCGACGAAGGAAGCAATCTGCCTTCACTTCCGGTTCCCGGCTTCCCTCTACCCCGGCCTCCCGCCTTACGACCGCGCAGACGTAAAGAACCGGAAGAAGGACCTTCCATGGTTCTATAGTTCCGCGCGCTCCAGGGTTGCCTTTAGAAAATGCCTGTGTGGAAAACAAAAATTTTTTTAAGCCACTTCTAACTCCTCCGCTACTACCAGTAACAAAAGGCATAAAGGAAACTAGCATCCTCCCCATTGTTATCTTTTTTCTCTTGTCCTGCTCTTTTCCACGCCTCTCTCTTCATTTACGTTCTTGCCGCACAGGCCTTCTCTCTGGGCACCCCTCCGTGGGTGCAGGAGGACCCAAGGTGGCGGGATTTCGAGTTCCCACGGGGTCCTTGGTCCTTGGTCCAAGGTGACCTGGGGACGTTGGCGCTGGAGCTAGGGAACGACCGGCCCCAGGTGTGGGAAGTGAGTCGTGCTCATGAGTCCTAGCCCTACCCTTTCACCAGCCCTGGAGCCGGTGGACGGCATTTGCCTAATGTTGGCCGAGGTAGCTGATGCCTTAAGAGCCCTGAGGTTCGTGGGCGTGGGCTGGAATCAGGAGGGGGTTCTGAATCCACTGAGTGGGGTACAGGGTCTAGATTCTGCCCCAAATGTTAACGATAAACGCTAGGGCTTGAGAGTTAAATAACTTTTTATAAGTGTTGTTAATTCTACCGGAATGTGCTTAGCCCTGCCCCCAACAGACCCTTGGTTCAGCCTGGATTTTTTTTCCTGAATGAAACATTTGATATATCTCGCCCCGCTTTTGTATGCTACAGAAGTCAGATGTGACTTAACAAAACTGACAACAGACGTTTGGCCCTTTACCTGTTATCACAACCATTTAACACCAAGGTGTACCATTATTCCCATGCTATATCAAGCAAACAGATTCAGAGAAATAAAGCAACATGTCCAAACTAATACAGCTAGTAAAGTGACAGAGCCAGGATGTAAACACCTCTCTATTCTCTAGTGTATCCTGACTCCCTGCTTAAAGAGTCTGGTTAATAAATACACACTACAGATTACCTCACTGGTTCAAGTGCTTGGTGAAGTAGGCTCGTTTTCTGTGGCCAAAAGAAACAACAGTGATCCAAGGATGATGTTACAGAAGCGCAGTTTTTCAAACCCACAATATCAATCTTTTTCAACAGTATTTATCAACTGCCTGTCCTGTGCCAAATGCTATCCTGAGATCTGGGGACACAGCAGTGAACAGCCCTGTCCTCACAGAGTTCACATAACAGGGGAGACAACACATAAACATGTCAAGTATCGATAGGTGCTATGAAGGAAAATAAAGCAAGGTAAGGGGCAGAGTGCTTGTTCCTACACCCCAGCTGTTCTCTACAGTTACCATCTATAGTCCTCAGGTTCACAAAGGAGGAGCCACGTGTTTCTCACTTTAGAGAAAAAATAATGTACCATTTGCTTTTGTTTCTCAAAGCTCCAACACCTTTTGGGTGTTTGGGGAATACATAAACAAGGAACAAGAGTGACTTAAAATGAGAAATGATGAAGCAAAAGGAGGCTGATTCCACCCAGCAATTGATTTGCCCATAATTATTTTATTGACACTTTTATTGTTACAAAGGGAAAGTAAGGTGTTGAGGATGTAGAAAGGAAGGCCATGCACATGAGGGGACACAGCATCACTTTAGATCTCAGGAAGCAGTAATAAGCATCTGATGGGTCTTTGAGGAAACAGGAAAAGGGGGAAATCCAATAAAGAGAAAGACCAACTTAAGAGAGACAAAAAGAGAGGCTAAGAAATGCAAACATCTTCCTGGAACCACAGAAGAGAGGCTAAATGAGGCCATCATTTAATCTATCTTTTCAGGGATAATAAGGTCTCTGGGGAAAGAGAGGTGGGAAGAACCAATTTTTTAGAGAATTTCTAGGGTCACAGAATGAATGAGTAGAATTACAAAGCCACAGACAGGAGTGAGAAAACAGCTATGTTTAAGTTTTGGTAGGTGGGCAGAGAGTAGTAATAATATCACAGGTTTGCCATTTATTGAATCACAGCTACTACATGCTGGAAACCATGCTAAGCTCTTTATAGAATGAATCCTAACCAATGCAACACCCCTGCAAGGTAGGCATTATTATTATTATTCCAACTTTGCAAAGGACACTGGGGTTACAGTTTAAGTAGCTTGTTCTTGTTGCCCAGCCAGCAAGTAGCAGGGTCAGAAGAGGGACCCGAGCCTGCCAGGCTCTGAAGTCAGAGTGTTTTCACATCCCTACTTCTCCATGCTACAAATTTCACAGAGGGGCTGGATGAGGGTGACTTGGCAGTTTCCAAGCTCCCAGTGAAAGAACAATAAGAAGATTCAGGTCTGAGCAGGATATTTATAAATTTCACAGGAGAATTATTGGATCCTGCTTTCTAGAATTTCTAGGGAATGCAAGGGAGAGAAAGGATTATGGTGGGAGTTGATTTTGACTTGGCGATTTCTTTGCAGGAGGGAACTGGCAGGAGGAGTCAGGCCCCTAGGGTGGGTCCTAGGCAGCAATCCGGTAGTTGGGGTGGACCTGGGGCCTGACGTCACAGACCATGCCAAGAAGCTGGGCCAGGACACGTTCGCGGCTTCTCTGCTGGGAGCTCTGCATGCCCTGCACCTGGCGCCTTGTAGCCTGCTCCACCTCAGCTGACAGATTCCCTTGGGAGCCCATGGCCTGGGGGGTGGGAGAAAGGGTGGAAAAGAGAAACGAGAAAGCAGAAACAGAGAAAGAAGCATCCACGCATGTGGAGGGAAGGGTCCTGGAGCAAGACCAGAAAGAAAGGCCCTCTCCAAAACCACTCCCATCCGTGGAAATATCTAGACACTGAAGAGACCAACATAATGCCCTCTCCCCTAAGACCTGACATACAGCATCACCCTACAACAGACCGTACCATCCCCACCACCTCACCACCCATGCCCATAAAACTCGGCCCTCCACCCCAAATATCATCATACTCTACAGAGACTGTGGCAATCCCCCCCACTTCCACAAGCCGTACAAGTCCTTCAAAACTCCTAGACGCTCTTACATATCACAAAGCTTGACCAATATCATGGTCTTCATCAGGTCCCCTTCAGCCCTTTACTACCTTATTTTCTTGTGGAATCACCCTGTACACACCTCACCAGATATACCCACCAACTTGCACCCTGGGGTCCCATCCCAGCCTCCCCCACGACTCACTGCCTGCTGCTTGCTCTGGAATTCCTGCTCTCTCTCTCTGCGGTATTGCTCCACTTCCATCTGTGCCTCCTCCTTTGCCTGCTTCAGACGCCGGGCCTTCCCTGGAGGCAGGAGAAAGGACTGAAAGTGGGGGTAGACCCCACACACACAAAACGTGAGAGCAGGGGTCAGTCCCTCCCAAAAAGTTAGTGCCTTCTCTCAGCCAGCCAAGAACTAGATTCTGACACCCACCCATTTCTTCCCTCCTAATAAGCGCCCCCAGCCTCCCTCCCCCCGCCCCACCAGCCTTGGGTTATCCTAAGGACTCAAATGTTTGCTGTCCTTCCACCCCCAATTTTCTCTCCAGATTCCTAAGGGAGAAATGAGGAGACTCACTCTTTCTGGCATCTGCCACCTTCTCAGCCGCCCGCTTCTCGGCTTGCAGGAGCTGCTGGATACCCTGGGACTGACTGGCCATTTCTGTCGTTACGACCGATGCCGTTTCGGAAGCTACCAAGGTACCAGATGGCTCCCCCTTTTCCCCTCCCCCCACACCGCCTCCTCCTCCTCCTCCTCCAGCTGTTTGCTGCAGCCTTCCACTACCCCTGGGTCTTAGTGCTCCCCTTTTCGCTCAGCCTTCTGCACCGGGTGTCTCCCCCAAACTGATCCTCCCATTGATGGCTGGTCCTCCTCTCCCACCTCTCACTCTGGCAGTACCCAGAAGAACCGCCTGGGGGCAGCAAAGACCAGGTCCAAAGCTGCCTGCTAACTTCACGGCAGGTGCAGGGCTTTCCCAGTCGGAAGGTCTAGGAATGGGGGCAGGGGCCGAGAAGAGAGGAGTATTTGAGAGAGAAGGAGGCATAGAGGGATTGAGAATGGGGTGAGGAGGTAAGGAAATTATCATGCGTGGTGTGTTGGGAATAGAGTGTGCTGGGCTTCTCTGAATTCTTCCAACTTCTTTTCCTTTTTCTCCCTCCCATTTCCATCTCCTTTTTCTACACCTTTCCCAATTCCAAATTTCTCCATTCACTTCACGTGCGTTGTCCTGCGGTTGTTTTCCTTGTCTTTTGCTTCCTGTGTTTTTCTCTTTTATGATCTGTCCCTTTCTTGATCTCACTGTGGTTTTGATTTTTCATTTTCATTGTGATTTTTTTTTTTTTTTTTTTTGCGGTACGCGGGCCTCTCACCGCTGTGGCCTCTCCCGCTGCAGAGCAACAGGCTCCGGACGCGCAGCCTCAGCGGCCATGGCTCACGGGCATAGCCGCTCCGCGGCATGTGGGATCCTCCCGGACCGGGGCACGAACCCATGTCCCCTGCATCGGCAGGCGGACTCTCAACCACTGCGCCACCAGGGAAGCCCTTCATTGTGATTTTTATCCTGTCTTTATCTCCCCTGTTTTCTCTCTCTTCTCATTTTTTCGCCTATCACTGAACCATCTCCTCTCTCCTCCCAGTAGGGGGAAGCGGGGTTAAACCTCCAAAGAGCCCTTGCTCTTCCTTTTCCTCGCCTGTCGTCCAGTCTTCCGGTTTCAGACGGACCCTTTATCTTAAGTTCCCTAGTTTCCCCCCGGAGGCTAAGGCCAAGGAAACACCTCCCGTCCCCTCGGGGAGGAACGGCATCCGGTAACGCGCCTCGGTTCATTTCCGTCCTTTACCTGCGTCTCGGCTTGCGCCATTTCCGTCAGTCTAGAGTGTCTCCGCCCTTCCCGCCTCCCTTCCTCGGAGCGTCTTAAACACAGGCTTCGGGCCTACTGCTCCGGGGGTACTTAGGGGGCGGGGGGCAGGTCTGATGAGTAACCCCTCCCCCCAAGTCCCAGAGGGAGAAGCCTCTACATCTGTCTGTCGGGTACATTATATTCAATTTCTAGATCATTATTTGAAATTGTGACTTTTTAAAATTCAGGTTTCTATTGATAAAAATTTCCCCATCACTCTCTATTTGTCTTTATTATATAACAAAGTCCTTTATTAAAAATTTACCTGGACTAATGAGCCTTTAAGTAATCATTTATCCTTTTCTCAAATTTCACATTAAAAAAAAAATGTGACCCCAGCTCCCCTCAAAATTGTTTTCAAACCTATCACCTGGAAAAGGGATGAGGGTTAGGACTGGCCTCATCTCTTGCTGAAAATGTAAGAAGAAATGGGGAACCAAAGGGAGAAACAGAGGGAATATCAGAGATGGAGGGGGAGGGACCATCCAAGGCTGGGGTCTTGACTGCTGCCTGTTTATCCTTCTTCCTCAGCCCAAGAG